TATTACAAAGTTGTTGCTACATCTTTCATGAAGTCATGTAGGATAAAACAGCTCTCTGACTCAAGTCAAAGACAAGGGTTTACTTGCTGGCTATGCTGCTTTCTAGTGTGTGCAAGTTACTTAACATCCCTAAACCTGTTTCCTAAGGTCTTAGTCAATGTACTGAAGGACTGAATCAAAAAGGCCTCATTGCACCAACACAGATACACCAATATCAACTAGTGCTTCCTCCTCAGAGATCTGAGTCCTAGTTTGTGGGGTGTGTCTCCTTTATGCTTCTTAGGCACTGGCACCAGCCAAGCAGTGCCCTCCCCCTTAGAGATCGGGGTTCCTGCATTTTGGTACCCCTCCACCAAGTTTCTAAGTTCTAATAAGTTCTAATAACACCAACTTCTTCCTTGTTCCCCCAGCCCTAGAGCAGCAGAGTCAGGCCTGCCTACAAGGCTGGCCCTTTGCTGGCATTTGGGAACTTGGATTTCAGGTGAGTTTCCAACATTCCCAGAAATGATAAGGCTGTCTCACTGTGCCTAAACTGGGCAAGCAATATGGCTAATGCCAAACAACAGCTTTCCTTGGGGAGTCTGCAATTTAGCACCAAGGTAGAGGGTGCCTATGTGATCAGCCCCCAGTAAAAACCCTGGTACTGCCCCGAGTCTCTCTCTTTTTTTTTAATCTAAGATGGTCTTTTTTTTTTTTTTTGGCTGAGCTGGGTCTTCGTTGCTTGTGCGCAGGCTTTCTCTAGTTGCAGTGAACAGGGGCTACTCTTCGTGGCGGTGTGCTGGCTTATTGTGGTGGCTTCTCTTGTTGCAGAGCACGGGCTCTAGGTGCGCAGGCTTCAGTGGTTGTGGCAAGCTGGCTCTAGAGCATAGGCACAGTAGTCGTGGCGCACGGACTTAGCTGCTCCATGGCATGTGGGATCTTCTGGACCAGGGATCGAACCCGTGTCCCCTGCGTTAGCAGGCAGATTCTTAACCACTGTGCCACCAGGGACGTCCCTGCACCGAATCTCTTGATTCTCAGCTTCTCTGGCTGGCAACATTTCACACATGTTGTCAGAACTTGTGTCAGAAGACTTAAGCATGTCACCTTAGTTCTCCAATCACTATTTAACAATGTCTTTATATTAAATTTTGTTTAAAGTAACTGGTATAATTTCCCTGATTGGTCCCTAACTGACACAGCCAATCAGTAAGGACAAACTGTCTAGTTAATCCCCTTTGATAGTTGATTTTTATTAGAAACTAACATCTGTAATTACACTAATCTCTCATAATTCAGTTCCTGATTCAGTCAAGGAAGGTGTTCTTTCAACCAAACACTTCACAAAGATAATCCCTGTAAGAGATCATTGAGCATGCTGGGAAGATTATTCTATTGATCAAAAAGGTGCCAGTAATGAGATTATGTTAACTTTGGAAGCTTGCTTTATTTCAGGAGAGATATATAAGTGATGCTTAAAGGTCTTATTTTGTGGTTAAAATTCATACTATATTTGTTTTGCCCAGAGGCTTGATTAAAAACAGTATTAACACAAAGTCATAGCCATCTCTATTTACCTGAAGACTTTCTGGTTCTGTTCAGTCTGTATTCAGGGTTCCGAAGTGAGCAAAAGGTCAAATATATTTCTACGTGGAAGTCAGTCAGGAAAATTTCATTTGTAAAGATCACATGAAAGGAAGAAATTAAATATACACATTATATATACGTGTATATATACACATATAGATAGAAGAAATATATAGATTTCAAATATCCACAAAAATTAGATACAATACTATTATAAACTCCCAATTATCCATATCCAGTTCAGTAATTATCAACAAATGATCAATTTTGTTTCATACACTCTATTCCTCCACCCCCACTGGATCATTTTAAAGTAAATCACAAACATATTTCACCTGTAATCTTCAGTACAAATCTTTACTGAAGTAAAGATTTCAGTTGAATTTCCCAGTCTTGTATATGTCTTTTAATATTTGGTTTGTTCAAAACAAAATCTAAACAATGCCTCCTAAATCTTACAAATCTACAACAATCCTGCCCACCCCCAATCCTCCTTCTCTACTTGACATTTATTTGTTGAAGAAATTGGCTCATTTGTCCTACAGAATTTCCCATATTCTGTATTTGGCAGATTATATCCCCTCAGTGTCATTTAACATGCTTTTCTATCTCCTGTTTAAACTGGCATACCTAAAAGCTTGACTAGACTCAGATTCAATTATTTTGGCAAGAATATTTAATAGGTGGCATTGTGTCAAATATATTTTTGGAGCATAACTGGTCTGGACTCTAAGGTACTGCTTCCCACAGGTCTCTGCTGAATTTTAATTTACTACCAATCTTTTCCTATTGTATAAACAGATTTTTAGCCCACAATTTATGGAAGCACTGTCATCTACTAAAACTGAACCAGAATTTCTTATCACTTTTAAGCTTCTGACATATTACTCTTTGCTGAGAAGTCCAGTGAGTACCATACATTGTCATCTACTGCAAAGATGCCTTTATCTGCCTTAAAAAAATTTCTTTTAGTGGGGGGGAACTATTCAGTTGGGTGACCCAATTCAGTAGATATTTTCTTATGTCTCGGAAGAGTTCAATAAGAAAATGTTTGGTAAATTTAATAAAAGAAGGCCTTCTATTAAGTTCACAAGTACATCATGTATTGTATTGAAAAATATGTTTAACAGGCTTTCTAGTTAACAATACCAATAGTTTGAAATAGAACTTCGTAGGATGTGGCAGTGTAATGCCTATATTTTGTAGGCAACGTGTAACCACTGTGATGTTGAGTGGGGGAGTAATATGGTAAAAATGTGTTTTAAAGGAAGATGTTACTGGTAATATTTAAGCTTTAAGGCAAGAAAAGCAGGGACTGTGTATTTGAAGGTAATCTGATATAGAATTGTCTGGATGCAGCTACAGAACGACTTCAATCAACAAGTACATCCTGTGCTGTATTGAAAAGTGCTTTACAGCGTTTCCCTGGTGGTGCAGTGGTTAAAAATCCACCTGCCAATGCAGGGGACACAGGTTCGAGCCCTGGTCCGGGAGGATCCCACATGCCATGAAGCAACTAAGCCCGTGCGCCACAACTACTGAAGACTGCCCGCCTAGAGCCTGTGCTCCACGACAAGCCCGTGCACCACAACAGAGAGTAGCCCCTGCTCTCTGCAACTAGAGAAAGCCCGCGCGCAGCAACCAAGACCCAAGGCAGCCAAAAAAAATAAATACATAAATGTATTTTAAAAAAAAAAGAAAAGTGCTTGACGTTCTTTGTAGCTGGTGATTTCAATTCACTCCACAAAGCATCCAGTAAGGGATGACTGCAATGAACAAAGCAAGAGTAGAATAATCATACATACACACAGAAGCTGGAATATTTATGTAAATGTAAATCAGATCAAGTCACCTCAATGACTTCCCTTCACACATAGAGTAAAATCCAAAGTTGGTACCATGGCCTCCCAAGTACTATGAAAAAGCTCTCACTACCTCTGATCTCATTTCCTACCACTCTCTTCACTCACTGTGATCCGAAGCCCTTGCTCCTCATAAAACAAGGCAAGAATGTTTCTGTCTGGGGCCTTTGCACTTGCTGTTCCCTCCACCTGAAGATACTTTCCCCCTCGGTCATATCGTTCACCTCCTCACTTCATTTAGGCCTCTGTTCATTATCACTTTCTCAGAGGCCCACCTGACCACCTTATATAAAACAGCACCCCACCTTACCCCTCTCCATCTCCTTTCCCTGCTTTACTTCTTTCTACAGCATACGATTATCTGACATTGTATTACATTAATTGATTTAATATATTGATTTCCCCCATTCTAGAATATAAGCTCTATGATAGTAAAGACTTTTGGTCACTTATCCAGCACCTAAAACAGCGAACAGTGAGTGCTCCATAAATATTTGTTGACTGCATTTAAGCAGCAGAATGCAGTAAGTAGTATTGCTATTCTCACTTTACGGTTTACAGGAAACTATGACATATAAAGATTAAGTAAGTACCTGGGAACAAACAAAGGGGGAAAAAAATGTCAAGACCTGATGAATGATTCCTGAAATGGGTAAATCGAAGCAAAGTCTGGTTTGTATGGAGGAAGGGAAACCCAAACCATGCACGGACACCAATTAAAATGTTGGCCACACAGGAAGAAAGCAAATAGAACCGAGTCTCTTCCCTAAGGCTGTGACCATATGGTGCCCTCACAACCTCACAGGGTAAGCACGTCAGGTACTGTATTAGATAGTCATTAACAGCAAGACTGACGGCCAGACTTCGCAGCCGGCAAGGATGGCAGGTCCGGCCCAGCACTCACCGGTTTGTACAGTTACATAATCAACAGCCAGAACCTCGGGCTTCCTCCCGCCCCTGGGCTGACATCACGTGGCAGGCCTCGCGACCGGAAGCAGCACCCAAGAGAACCGCGGCAGTTGGCGAATCCAGGGAAGAGTTCCAGCGCGGGAGGTGAGGTGAGAAGTCACGGTGGTTCTTACGTAAGGGGCCAGAGCGCGCGGCGGGAACTGTAGACCCGCCGGCGGAGAGGGGTGCGTCTAGGCAGCCCTGCCGCTCCCTTTGATTGGCCGGCAGGATGACGAACGCATTTACAGTCGGCCCTGCGGTAGTGGGAGCGTGCGTCAGCTTTGCACAATCGGGGAAGGAGAAGGGGCGTGTCTGACCGCTCAGGGGACCCGCCGATTGGCTGGGTGG